CCATCTGTTCTTCCCGTTTTCGGCCCCCACAATGACATTATTCAATGATCATCTGGCTCTGGGGGTCTGCAGCATATAGCAAACACCACACACACAACAGCCAGCAAGCCTCCACAAGCCAAGTTTATGGGCGAGCAGTGCGCGTGTCTGTGTGCAGGCAACCGTGAGCACTTTGTGTGTGTGTGCACGCCAGAGAAAATAACGTGCATGCGATGTGCTGCCTACAGATAGATAGCTAACAACGTCTGCTGAATAATTTGACTAGGTTCCCGTGGTGAGCACGTAAAAAGAGGGGGTCTGATCGTCCTGTTGGGACATCGATTCTCACTAGGTGGGCCCACGCGCTCTCTCACTGGTCGTGGAATTTTAATCTGAAAAAATATGCACATTATTCCCACTTAGGTTCTTTTTTTTCTGTCTTTAAAAAAAATTTAATTTTTTAAAATGTGCTTTTAAAAAAAAATAATTTTGAAAACTTAACCGCGGTTTTTATTTTTGTCCGTTTTAGTGGGATTTTTTTTTCTTTTAGTCCGGAGGATTTGTTTTAAAATGTTAACAACGCCGGAATACCAAAAAAGTAAAACGGGCGAACTAAGTTGTTTTTTTTTAAACATCATCTTTTATTAGATTTCCTTTTGTTTTCGGGGATAGGGCGGGTGGGGGATTTTGAATCTACGGTTGAACAGAGCGGATGAGTGAAGGCTTAAGATTTCGTCGTCTTTTATTTTAAAATATGGATGCGTGTGCTATCTGTTTTTGTTGCTAAGAAATCATAGTTTTTCTAAAATATTTCACAGGTTTTGTTGTTTTTTTGTTGTTTTTTTTACATGAGTGTTCGTGTGCTTAAGGTGAAAAATCCAAGTGATTTAATTTCTTGTAAGTGCCCATATTATGTATACAGGTGTATGTGTGTGTGTCAGTAAATGTGTTACAGTGTGTGTGTAGGTGTGTGTGTGTGTGTGTGTGTGTGTGTTTGTGTGTATGATATGTGTGTGTGTGTACGAATGTGTGTATGTGTGTGTATGATGTGTGTGTATGTGTGTGTATATGTGTATATATATATATGTGTGTGTGTGTGTGTG